AGACCCTGTATCACTTTGAATGTTCTTGCTTTGATTTGTTTATGTTTGTGATACTGGGATGCTGCTACTGTTCTATTTTTTTGTTTGTTTGCTTCTCCTTTATTACTCTCTTAAAAAAAAAAACAACTGTGTCATGGCCACCCACAAACTATCTTTCTTCTGAAGTGTTCCAAGGGGCTTTACTAACCAGGGACTTGTTTCTAGATGAGAAAGAGAAAATGAAGGAAAATGCTGAGCAGCAGAACGGAGGAGCTGGTTTCCTCTTCTACTTCCCAACATCCTTCTTTGGTGGAAGTTACCCGCTTAGAGTCCACTCACCTTCTCTAAATTTTCACAGTCCTTATTAATACCTTCTGAGTTCCTAAAATTTATTCATGGTGCAGAAATTTTACTTATATTCTATATTATCAAGAAAATATTTAACTGTATTAATTTCCCGGTACTGGGAACCGAACTCACGACCTTGCGCTTGCTAGGCAGGCGCTTTTGCCGCTGAGCTAAATCCCCAGCCCCATAACTGTATTAATTCTACTTGAGACACAACCTAAAATATGGATTAACCTATTAAAATATATTTAGCGTTCTTAGTAGCTATAGTGTAACAAATTATCCCAGTGAACTACACTTCTGTATTACTTTTCTCACACAATGTGTCATCTTCTTTGTAAGGCATGTAAAGTATTGTTTATTCCTGGTGCATCAAATCTTAGAATAACTAATTTTAAACAATCTTTGCTCTCCATTTGCATTGTCTTAATCAAAATGGATGTGAGTGTGTGTTTGTGAGCATATATGTGTGCATCATAAGCCTGTATATGTGTGTGTGTGTGTGTGTGTGTGTGTGTGTGTGTGTGTAGCATCTCTGGAGATACAGCAATACCACTACACTTATTTCACATAATCAGCAACTATTTCATTATGCAGATCATTATCCTTTTCCTTGATTGCTGTTAGATACCCTCTTAATTCTGTTTTTGAAGAAATAAAGGTAAAAAGTGAGATGGGAAATGATGCACGGAGGAAAAAAAAAAAGAGTTCAGGAAAGTTTTTATGTTAAATGAGGAAAATCATTTTTGTTTTCACATCATTTCTTCACAATAGCAGTTGATGACATGTACTGAGCGCTTGCAGTGATGCTAAGCCCTTTGAGGGCACTAACTTATTCAACCAGCTCAAGTGTCTTTGGAGGGAAAGTCCATGGTTCCAGGTGAGAATCCAGGGTATGGAGACGTCCATAGCTGTGCTTGTGCTAAACTGGAACCAGGCTCCGTGACCACACCCCAAGTCACCAGTGCCTGGCCTCCAGGGCCCTTCTTGCCCTGTCTTCTGACATATATGATTGCCCATGAAGTCAGCTTTTGGAAGACTCCTTGAGCTGAGTGTTACTGAAGGGTTGGAAGCTTTAGTCATGTGATGGTTGTTTCAAACGGTTGTTTACTTGTAGCGAGCTTGTCACTAGTTGGAAATGAACTAATTTGAATTTTAAAAATATATTTAACACCAAACATTTGCCTTTAATTTTTGTAGTGAAATATATAGACTATATCATACATTCTTTTAAAATCTTGTGTTTTGAAAATGAAAGTGTGAAACTTAAAAATCTGTAAAGAAATGGCATGGATAATAGCAATGTCTACCACATGTATAAGAATTGACTGTTCATAAAATGTTTCTATATTCATTATTTCATTTGATTTGCACTATAATCTGAGGAAGAGAGAAATAGATGTGAAAAGAGATGTGAAAATATACAAGTGCCTTATTAAATTCCCTACTTAACATGACAGCTATTAAATAGAGGGGCTAGAATTGGAACCATTTTGTAGGAAATTCTTTTTTTGTTTGTTTTTTCTCCGGTACCAGGAATCGAAGTCACCACCTCACACTTGCCAGGCAGACGCTGTGCCGCTGAGCTAAATCCCCAGCCCCTTGGAACCATTTTGTAAATACCAAGTCCAAGGTTCTCAAGAGGACCTTTCATTACATGTTTGGATGATGACAAAAATCACTTGGTTTGTGCGTGCTTCTGATTTTGTGTGAGAAATTGTCTAGGTTCATCTTTTAGTTATCATGATGTCATGTGGTTTAATATGCCTGAGGAACATGCCACATGCAGTTACCAAAATCTCAATAATTGTCTCAGACATTAGTACACAGTAGGGTACTACCCTTCCATAAAAAAGGGATCAACTTGAGTCATTTGGAGGAAAATGGATACACCTTAAGAACATAATGTTAAGTGAAATAAATCAGACACACAGACTTACATATCACATGACTTTATATATGAAAAATTCAAAATATAAACAGCAAAATAACAGATAGATAACTGGAACTAGGGAGACAGATCTTTTGCAAAGGGGAAGAGATGGAGAGAGGGAAAGGGAGGGAAGGGAATGAAAAAGAATTAAGATATGTTAAGTACATGTACCAGCTCCCCATGAGGAGTGTAATCACTATGGACCACAAACATGTACCCATAAAAACAAAAATTTAAAACAATTTCCCCAGAGCTCAGTAATCTCATTAGCATTTAGTGTTTAAAATTTTTTTGTCATAACTCTGAAATACAGTTTCTGTTTCACCTGAAACATGCATAAGGCATTGATAAAAGATGGAGAGAAGAAGAGCGGGAGGAGGAAGGAAAGAAGGAAAGGGGGAAACACCTCAAGCTTTTGAATTACCTGGTTGTTAAAGACTCTTATTAATCCTTTCTGAGAAGCTGTTATTAGTAAATCCAACTGGGGAATCTTGACGATACACTTAATCACATCTCGTCTTCTACTACCTGTCAATAGTATAATATTCATTTAAACTTCCAGCAATAAAGACCCTACAACTCATTTGTGAATTTGGTCTAAAAAAAGAAGGAAAGAAAGGAAAAGGAAAACAAGCAACATTTTGCTAGAAAGCTCTGAGTTACTTAAAAATTTGTAAAGAATAAAACTCAGTAACTGCTGTTTTTAATCCTTAGAGATACAATCTCAATATACAGAGCCCTCCAACTAAACATGGTACATGAATTCCCACAGGAAATGTAAGATACACACCCACACACCATACACACTTAGGTGCGCACATTTCAAAGACAGTGAGTTTTCTGACCATCTTTTGGAATCATCTCTCTTTTTGAGACTTTTTCTCACATCTCCTAGGAACCTGTGAATTGTCACCATTGTGGTTTACAATAAAATAAAAACACAGACACCTCAGAGTTTGCAGTATAAAAGAATGAAACTACTTCAATGCTGCCATCAAGGTTGTTTTGAATGCTGTGCATTTTGTAAAAAGACACTGTAAACTTTGATATTTCTCTGTTTATGTACTAAATCATAAAGCCACATATATTCAACCACTTCCCAGGATGAATTAATTCTTATAATTGTAAAATCTAAGGAAAAAAAAGCCAAATGAATAGATGTCACACTCTAGTATTACCTCATCCAAACATTTGCAAAAAAAAAAAAAAAAAAAAAAATCAGAGTCTCTAACAGGGTGTAAATTGTTTGTTAGGAGGATGTGAAAGAGTTGTACTCTTTATGTGTATAGAGATACAACACATGCACACACACACATCTTAATCAGATATACTTAGTAATGAATATCTGAGATATTAAAATGTCATGGAGCAAGATGTGCTAGGGGAGGAGGCAAGATTGGAGAAAAATGCTCCTTAGGGATCAACAATAAAAAAAGATTGAAAAACACTGTCCTATTCCAAGCCACCATCCATCTCTCTGCTCCCACTCCTTCTCCAATTTAGATTATTGTCAATACAGAAGCCAGAATAAACATTTAGAGTGTAACTGAGATCACATCTCCCCTCTATCCACAGCGCTCTTGCAGCTTTCTGCCTCATTCAGAAGTCTCTAGCGCGGCCTGCAGACTCCTGTTCATCCATCCTCAGACGCTGTTGTCTCTGCAACTTCATTTTCTATTCCCTCCCTTCCTCTCCCCCTCTGCATGCTTTTCTCTCCTTTTCTGAAAAACTTAGTCTCCTTTCAGTGGGGCTTCCGTGACTACCTGCTACTCCTGTCCCCAAACCAACTTCTCCTTCCTGCATTCCTGCTTGATTTTCCTCCACTACCTAACTTCATTTTCCCCCGTATCACAGAATGCCATCTGACATACTTTATGTGTCATTTGCTTGATATTTGTGTTGTCTGTCTCTTCCTGCGAGACTGTGAATTCCATGAGGTCAGGGATTTATGCCTTTTTTTGTCATTGCTGTGTCCTCAGCATTTGGAAAGCTACTCAGCCCAAGGAGACCTTAACACATATTGATTGAGGGGAAAATGAACTATAGAACCTAGTTATTCTTTAGAAACATGCTTTTAAAGTCCAGAGGATGCCACTCCATTCCTCTTCTGGCCCCACCTCACCTCAGCATGGAGCGTTCTTTTGTGTTTGTTCTTTTGTGGTAGTTCTACAGCCAGAGCCTGGGCTGTGACTGGCCTAACTAAAGGTCAAGGATAAAGGTGGGCTTTGTTCACAGAGGACTGGAGGATGTCCAGGTGCTTTGTAAAGAAACACCAGGTTTGGCCTAGACTGCGCACATCACCCAAGAGTATGGGATGGAGTACTGAAAGACAGGAAGAGACTCCGGGTTTTGCCTTTTCACTCCCCGATCATCTCTCATCATAGGTAGAAAAAAGGGAGAAAATCTAAGTGTCAACAAGGGAGAGGTGTGTGTGTCTTCAGACCCCAGGTCCAAACTGGAAAATAGATGAAACACATGAACCGGAAACTTCCTAAACTGAGATAATGCCCCTCTGTGACTGACCAAAATTCCTGGTTTCAGAGGCAAAGGCAACCCTGTCCAAGATAAGTGAGAGTGGGTAAGAGTATGGGGAGAAGTCCTAACTTGAAAACTTAATTCCAAGCATTAAACATGTGTGATTCCGTTTGGTACTGAAGCATGCGTTACTGAGATGCCATGGTAGAGAGGTTCAGTTGCCGTCTGAGCCTTGTCAGGAAAATATAAATGTTTTCATTTTCACTTTTACTATTTAGTGTTCCTTGGAGTAACGATAATATCTTAATTTCAGTGGCAGGCATAATTTCTTCTGAAACTGTAATTTCCCTGCATTTATGAAGAATTGAACAAGGAAATAAAAGGTGGTTTAAGGGAAATGATGTTTCAATATTTATTTTTGGAAAAAATGTTAAACTTATGCCAATTAAAAAGGAAAATTAAAAATGTCACCTGAAGTTGCAATTCGTTGTTTTTTTGACACAAGGAAAACCAAATTTTCTTTATCCACTTGGTGAGCAAGGGAATCTTCAGCTGAGAAGTATCCAAAGATCTGAAAATCCCAAATAACACATATAAACATGAGCAATATCTAGGAGTTGGCAGTAGAGTCATAGAGATTTAATGTTGGCTGAATTTAAAGTCTAACTTAGATTAGCAGTCAGCACCTTCGTGTATAATGCCTGATGATCCTTTTATATTTATAAAATATAAAAAGTTGATAGATTTAATAAACTATATCCTGATTGTGAAAGTTTTCTAAATAGTCACTTGTTTTTCTTTTCTGTGGAAGAACTGATGTAATAGGCTGGTGTCCTTGCTCACACTGATAGCTTTATCAGGACCTAGTACTTATTTGGAAATCAAATCAGCCTTCATCAGACAGAACCTCAGCTAGAAATCTTAACACTGAATGTTGTTACTCTCAAATGACTTTTTATACCCATTTTCCATGAATCTTTCTGACCCAGATTTTGTTATCCTGGCTAGCGGGATATTTGGAACATAAGACTATACAGTTCTTTTCTATTTAATTGTTCTAAATCCTACTCTCTAGGCACTGTGTGAAAATAAACTACTATAAAAGAATACCCTGAAGAAAAGTGTTATTTATCTGTGAATAAGTAGTCAAATTATGGCAATCTGAAACTCTGAGAAATTTGAAAAATATAATAACTGCAGGCCAAGTGTGGTGGCACATACCCATAGTCGCTGCTGCTGGGGAGATTGTGACAAGGGGCTCACAGGAGGCCAGGGGTTCAAGGCCAGCCTGGGCAACATAATGACACCTCATCTCAAAAAACAAAAGCAAGCAAACAAACAAAAATCTTGTTCTTGAACTGTCTTATTGGAAATAAAATTCTTATAAATTAATGATATTTAAAAAGAATTTTAAAAATTATTTTAAATTAGTAAATTGCTCATCATTAAATTCTTAGATGCCTGATATACAAATATTTCTCATACAGTTGAGACTAGCCAATGTCATGAATGAATAAGTGGAAGAAAGTGTGAAGTGCTTTAAAACATGAGTGTGCACACCAACCACGTGGGAGTCCTGCTGAGGTACAGATTCAGACATACTAGGTCTGGGGTGGGGTCTAAGAGGTTGCATTTGAAACAAGCTGCCCATGAGGGTCCATACTTGGGAGTTTAAAGGAGCTAGTGACTAACTGACTCAGCGGGACATAAGTCAAAACCTCTTATACATTAATTTATTTTAATAACATTTAATTTTAATGCTAAAGGATGACTTAGCATTATACTTTAACATATGTCTGCTCATCAGTCAGCACTTCTTTTACACACCCACATCAAAACCTACCAACACAGGAAAACTATTGGGAAATCAAGATCATCAAAACTACCACTCCTATACCTTTCCTTCTGCTCACCAGCGAAACCAGCACTCAATAAAAGCTTAACCCACTTGTTATTTTTTTTTAGAAATAAGTGCTCATTTTTCTTGGGTACCAAATATCTGGGTTTAACATCTAATTCCCTGTAACAGATTGAGAAAAAAAAAAAGAAAGGTGCTTTTAACCAGTCTATGTTAGAGTGGGCAGGGATGCTTTGTAACTGTGATGTTTTTGTCATCATTCACTGATGCACTGTCCAGCTAATAGTCATGCATTGATCTGCACCTAAGCCCCGTCTTGTTGGAACCCACGGAGGCAGGCTTGCTGCGACTGCTCACCCCTTTGGCTGCTTGCTGCCTTCCTGCCTGCCATGGACTGTTTCTCCTCTTCAATTCCACCCTTCTTTGGAACCAGCCAACTATGGACTGAAACCTATATAAACTGTGAACCAAATAAGTCTTTCCTCCTTTAACTTTGAGTGTCAAGTATTTTGTCTGAACAATGAGAAAAGTAACTAAGACATTTCCTTTTCCAAGGCTAATCTTGCTTCCTGTGCTTTGCATCCCACCCCCTTTTATCTTGTCCAATATTGTCTCCTTTTCCTTTCCTCAGCATCTTTAACCTCTCTCTACTGACTTTTCAACATTGAGAAATGTTCAGATCTCTGCCATCATAAAAACAAAAATACAATAACCTTCCAAAGTCAGCCACCACACAAATAATAATCCTTTATCTTTTTCTTACTGTTTTCTTCTCTGAGTATTGAACTTCCTCGCACTGCTGTTGAGCTTGGTTTACTTTTAAAGCCACATTTTCTTTCCTGTTGGCTCTAATAGCAGTCCATACTTTCTGAACTTTGACACCTCTTCCTTTGCTTTTTCTATTGCTGTCAGAACATTGACCATGAACATAATGGCTTAACACCCATTTCTTAGCTCACAATTCCATAGGTTACAAGTGCCAGATAGGTCTCATCAAGCTAAAATCAAAGAACTAATAGATGTGTGTTACTACAGTCTTTGGGCATGTGTGTGTGTGTGTGTGTGTGTGTGTGTGTGTGTATTGGCTTCCCTGACACCTGTTTACTCGCTGGATATCAGCTGGAATTTCCCAGCTCTAGAGGACTCTGTTCGGCTCTGGTACATGAGCCTAACATCTCAGCAACAGTAATGAAGTTTCAAGTCCTCTTCATGCTTGGAGTACTTCATTTCCCCTTTTGTCTTATTTTTAAGAACTCATATGATTACTCTAGACCCACCTAGATAATCTTTCTATATTAAACCCAGCTGATCTGTTCCTTAATTCCATCTGCAAAGTCATTTCACAACACTACCTGGGTTAGTATTTGAACAACCAGGAGACAGGAGTCTTAGGAAAGGAAGTCACATTTATCACTCCTCATTTTATACACACCACTCACTATAACTTCAATTACACAAAATTTTTAAAAATTATAAGTGCTCAATTGCCAGCTTAACTTGAGATAATAGTGTGAAATAATATTGTTCAGATAAGAACGTGAAATGACAATGAGAATGATGATTCTTTACATTTTTGCTAATAAATTCCAGTGTTTCTCAGGGGTGGGAGAACTCCACACCACTTTGCTGTTATTTAATTTGAAAGAGTATAATATGTTCTATGATACCTAACTTTGAAAAGCAGTTTATAGCCATTTAGCCTGAATTGTAATTTTCATATAATTTTTGTAGCGATAATGAAAATGCATCTTTTAAGCATCTGAGGACAGTGTGAGAAGGAATCAAGGTGCAATGTCCAAGGGGAGTCAGTGTTAGGTGCTTTTGGACTTAGAAATGGGTCCACATTCTGAATCCACTGTGAACTAATCATATAATCTCAAGAAAGTTATTTCTCTGTGCCTGAAATTTCTCTATCTGGAAAATAAATATAGTCATCATACCTCTGTCTGATGTGTTATTGTTAAGGATTGAATGAGGAAGTGAATGATTAGATTACCTAGTAAGTAGGAAAGTTAAAAAGTGCTTAGATTGCACCAAGTGCTAAGTAGGAACTCAATCAACATTACCATTTGAGGAATTAAAATTCCCAATTTTTCCAGAGACAGTATAGAAAGCAGAGCTAGGTGTTCTTGCTAGTTCAAAACGGCCCACTAAGCACTTTTGCTGCCTGCGCAGACCACACATCAGCCATGCACATCATCAAACACATTTTATATTCATATATATGTGTAGATAGATACTATTATTCAGGACATCTGTTCTTATAGAAATGATTGATTTTGCTACTTTTCTTTGTAACAGCAAAACATAACAATGCATCCCACAATCACTCCCAAAGAAAAGTAAAAATACCAAATTATTAACATTTATTGAAGGACATTGTAAGATATATTAATTAAACTTTAGAAGAGACAGCGGAAGTTTTATATGTTGAAAGGAAATGTTTCAAGCAAATAGTGTTAAAGGGCAGAAAACATCTCCTTTTCCTATGATGAGCTATATAACTTTGGGGATCTCAAATTCCTTTTTCAACACCTTCAAATTTTAGTCTAATAATTGTACTTGTGACAAGGCATATTTTGTAAGTATTATGTATAGTATCACTGATAAAATATTAATTTTATTTTAACTATGCTATTTATAGGGGTTGATCCATGCTTTAAATTACTATTGTAATCTTTGTAACTCTGTTGTCACTTAAAAAATTTAACTGATACATAAAAATCATAAATAGAAAATACACATAGGTATATACAACATAAAATTTGTTTTACATATTAATGAGATAGCATGGAATTAATATTCAATAGCTGTAGGCTGCATAATTTTGCATAATGTTTAAATCAGGTTAAACTTTTTTTTTTTGTTTTGTTTTGTTTTAAAACAGGGTCTCACTATGCAGTTCAGGCTGGCCTTGAACTCACTTTGTAGCCCAGGTTGGCCTCAAACTCACAACGATCCTCCTGTCTCAGCCTCCCGAGCTCTGGGATTACAAGTGTGAGCCACCACGCCTGGCCAGGTTAAACATAATTATGCCATAAAACATTAATTCTTTGTGGTGAAAACTTTCAAAATCCTTTCAGCTTTCAGAACTTTCACAGTAAGGTGATTCACTTTTTAAATTGCCTTTTATTTTGATTATATAAGGAACATATGTTCATTGTAAAGCATATGGAGAAAATGAAAAACAGGTAGAAGAAAATAAAAACCAGTATGCGACTTATTTTTTACCCTACTCTGGAACATTTCTTAACATTTTTAAAGTTAGCAAATATAATTTTAGCTATAAAATAATTCATGTGAGATTCACTTTTTGGGGGGAACACAATTTTAGGCATTCCATATGGTGGTGTATGACTCTTCTTTGAATTAATTTGTAATGGACTCCTACCAAAAAAATGTTTATGAGTTGTTCTGTGGAGACACAGCCTAACATGGTGCGTTAGGAAAAGTAGATCATGTCTGCACCAGACTTTCCCACTGATTAGCTCTATCAACTTAGGGCAGTCACATTTCCTTAGCTCTCTTTACATCTAATTTTTCTCAGGGTGAAGGGTAGATCTAGATTATGTTTTAAGTTGAGTCTTAAGTTTTCATTATTTTGTGATCTCAAATTCTCCATTGTGTTTGCATCCAAAACCTAGGAAAAGAAAGTGCAACTTCTTATGGCATTGCTACAACTGAGAGATTTATGTTTGGAATTATATTTTTAAATCTGTGCCTGAGTTTAAGAGTAAATCTAGTTCAAGTTACCTGGTAGGTTAATATTAGGTGATAAGTTTCTTTTAAAGTAATGTATACTGGAATAAAAGTCTTCCAGCCCTCAATTTCCATTTTGTAGATGACAGATCTGAAGCCAGAAAGGTTAGGTCGCATGGCTTGAAATAGAAAAGCCTCTTAGGAACACTGGCACAGATTGTGAGAAAAACTGTCAAAATAAAAGAAGAACCTCCCTGAATCATTTTCATAAACTTCAGTGGATTCTTCATGTAAAGTGTGTCTGAGGCTGGTGATGAGTTTTTCTATTAAACTTGCATATGATTTATAGGAACTCATAGGGTAATATCACATGGAATTATTAGCTAAGGAGAAATGTTCAGCTCCAAAACCAAAATCCACTTTCTCTGTGACTTCTGATAAGTCAGTTAAACTTTCTGTGCTTTTCTCTCTTCACCTTTGATTGCAATGACATTATCTTCCACATTCTATATTGGATTTGTTGTGAAGATTAAATGAGAACCTGAAAAGATGTATAAAAAAGACATTTTAACAAACGTAAGATTTTGACTTTCAATTGGAAAGGAAAAGAGAAGGCACAGATATTAAAAGGAGGCTCAATTTCCTCATCTCTACAGCCAAAAGCAAAAAACAAAAAAAAAAAGAAAGAAAAGAAAAGAAAGAAATTGGATCTACTTTTTTATGATCCAGATCTAGAATGTCCCTCCAAACTCTCCTGTGCTCAGAAGCAGGACTTTTACAAGATGATTGGATCATGAGGACACTATACTCATCATTGGACTAATCCACTGATGCATTCATAGCTGACTTGATGCTAGGAGGTGGGGCCTGGTTCCAGATGGGGCATAGGTGGTGTGACTTGGAAGGTATATCTCCTCCTCCCACTCCTACCTTCCCTCCTCTGCTTCTTGGCTGCCATGACATAAGCAGCTCTCCTTCACTATGCCTTTCTGCCATGATGATCTGCCTTGGAGCAGGCCTATCAAGGAATAAACTGTGAGCCAAAATAAACCTCTCCTTCTTTAAATTGCAGTTGAGTACTGTCTCGGTGGTGGAAAAGTGACTAAGACAGATTTTGGTACCAGAGAAGTGGGATTGTTGCTGTGACTATATCTGACCATATGATTCAGAAGCCTTTGAAACCAGCTTGCAAGAGGAGTTTGGAAAGGTTTGGAGATGCCTGCTGGAAAGGCCTTAGAATGCTGTCAGCTGGGCTTCATGTGAGATTCTGGCCAGAATGCTGAAGACCACAATGCTGATAGAAATAGAAACAGTAAAGGCCAGGCTCAGGAGATTCGAGTTGAGAACAAGGACATTGGCAGTTGAACTTGAGGCTATGTGTGTTATGCTCTGGCAGAAAATCTGTCTTCATTTTACCCATGTCCTGAGACTTTGTGGGAGACTGAAATTAAGGGCATTGGACTACTTAATCTTGCAGAAGAAATTTCAAGACAACCCAACATTCAGGCTGTGGCATGGGTACTGCTGGTTGCTTTTGGCCATGTGTACAATGATAGTACCAAAAAGCAGAGCTTAATAGAAAAAATTTGCTGGTGGCCAGAAAAGAAGTAAAGTTGAGGTTGTAAAGTTGGGGCCAAAGAGAGTTTGGTTGCTGAAAAGATTGTGGTTAAAAAGAAGTTAAGAATTTGCATCAATATACTAGGAAAGACACCTTTAGGGCATCTCAACTCTTTATTGCTGAGGCCTTATGTTTTGTAATAGCAAGGACTTGAATTCAATCATCAACCTGAATAAACATGAAGGAGATTCTTCCCTAGTTAGACCTCCAAATGACTACACAGCCTAGATAACACTTTGGTTGCACTCTGATGGGACCTTGACCAGACGGTCAAGTTCAGCTGTTCCTAGACTCCTAATTCATGGAAACTGTGATATAATGTGCATTTCTTTAAGTTGCTCAATTTATGGTAAATTGTTCCAGTAGCAATAAAGAACAAATACAGTCTCTTCTATCAAGTAAATTTCCTGTAATTCCTATTCTGCTAAGATTTTCTTTTAGAAGAAAGAATATCTACTGAATTTTTATCAAATATCTGCTTTGCTTTTATTTTAGGATCAGAAATCAGCGAACTTTTTCTGAAAATGGCCAGGTAGTAAATAGTTTAGGCTGTAAGCTCTTCTGGTCTTTGTCATAATCATTCAGTTCTGCTACTGTTGCTCAAAAACAGCTATAGACAATATGTGAATGAGTGAGCATTACTGTGTTCTAATAAACTTTATTTACAAAAACCAGTAGCTGTCCAGATTTGATCTCTAGGCCTTAGTTTGCTGATCTTTGATTAAGATGACTGCATCATTTCTCCCTCTTAACTTGTTAAAAGAAATGTGTTCATGGCTTTTCTAATATTGAGCCTTCCCAACTTTGTGGAGTAAATTCGATTTGGAAATGAATTTTTAATGTGCCACTGTATTCAATTTTAAAAAACTTTATTTAGGACTTAAGTATTTAAATTCATAAATAATACTGGCTTATAGATTCTTAGTTCAATTCAGTGTCATTGTAGCTCCCTAAAATAAATTGAATAGATTTGTTTTTCCTAAATTATTAAAAAATTAATATGACTTGGGAATTATGTATTCTTAAAAGCCTTAGAAGCTTCTGTTTATAATTTTTCCCAAGTCTACGTATTCCTTTTTTATTTGGTTAGCTTTGGGATTGGAACTATAATTTTTATAAACTTCTAATTTTACTCCACTAGTGTTTATTGATTATTGATATATTTTTTTAGACTAATATATGATCAATTTTGTAATGGCCCCAATGTAGCTGAATGCAAGACATACATTTCCTATGTCTTGGGTTCAAAATTCCATTTATGCATATCTATCAGTTTGTTATACATGATGATTAAATTCTGTAGATCATTAATTTTTCTCTTGTCTATTGATTTTTTTAAAAAGCTAATTTTAAAATTATTTTATTATTCTTTCAGCATGCGTATAATTTTTTTCAATACTGTGCCAATCAGATAACACTTCAACAAATAACAGAAGTGATCAATCATAGCCTCTCCTTTCTTTTATATTAAGGATTTAGATAGACTAAACATTTGTATACATTGACACTACTGAAAATAAATATTTCATTTAGAATGTAATGAAGGTTGTTAAAATCTTGGTTGCTGTTAATGGAACTTATACTCTTTCAATTGGCAGGTGGGCCTAATAGTATTTAAGAGCTACTCACCAATAATATACTTAACACAAAACTTTCCCCTCAGTGAACTAATGTTTTATGCCCTTATCTTGTACGCTGAACAACTACTGCGAATGTAACAATATGCAATGTGTTGATTATTATTATTCTCCTACTAGCCTGTTTTGAAACTCTGTTTTATTGTTATTTCTTGCTTTTTCTAGTTAAAATAAAAAATATATATATTTAACAATAGCTACCTGGCTTGTCCACTTTATGTTGTTGACAGTGGCCATGTCTTAATAATCAGAGAAGTTAGGTCATGTCACATACACATTGTGCATTTAACCCCTATGGGAGTAACACTTATTTATTTATTCTGAACAATGACAAATAATACCTGGATTTCACATTATAAATACAAAAAGTTACTACCTCACACCAGTCTATAGGTGCATCAGGGTTCTTGCAGAGCTTCCTGTAAAAGCACTTCACATCTTGACTCCTCATTTCTATATCAAAGAGCTCCTGCACTGCTGCATAAAACTTGTCATAATCAATCACATCTGTAGTGAGAAAAGCACAAGTACATTGTCACTAAATTCCAAAGACTACATTTCATATTTCAGGTACTTTTTGTATTTTCTAATCTTCTATTTTCCTGTTTCAAATGAATGAAAACCAAATTTATCTGCATGTTAAAGATCTTGTCTTTGGAAAAATTGTAGCCGTGGGCTAAAATATTACTAAATTAAAAGAAAATATTTTTACTTGAATGTTGTGTATCTTCTCCATATCTTTTGTTTCAGTTCTTTTAGAAGTTTTGTGCAGGAATAATAAGATAAGAAAATGAATTAAAGAGAATTACTCTTTCCTGCTATGAAAGTTTCACCAACTAGAGTATCTATTAGAGTTCACCTGAAGTGGAAGGCAGAAGTATGCAAATAGCACTTACAGGTTGGTTTTTTGATCACATGCAAACACAAACATTATTGCTTGAATCTTGATTTTGCCAAAATATTGATTCATTGAGGTAAGACTACTGAGGCTAAGGACAAAAGCATGAGATGCAATGACTCTTAAAACTGTATTGATAAAATCAAATTCTTTTATTTAATTAACAAAAGAATATTAAGCATAATTATGTATCAGAACTGAGCTAGACATTGGACTAGATGGAAAACTAGGTCAGCAAATCTCTGCTCTCAAGGAGCCCACATTCTAGTGGAAGGATCAGAAAATTAACGAGAACATTTTACGTATTTTGGTAGGCAAGACTCATTAATAGATGTTAAATTAGTGGTTATCTGTTTATAAGGTAGGAAGCTAAAATTGCTGCAAAAAGACTTGAGGGATGAGATGCTAGAAATGTTTTTGCTTTGATTTGGTTGGCTTATTGACAAATGTTCACATTTATGGTTCCACTTAAGATTAGTAAAATTCCACTTAAGATTTCTTGTTATTTCTTAACGTTCTTGTTATTTCTTAAGGTTCCACTTAAGATTTATGGGTTAGTAACTTTTAGGGTCTGTCATATCTCAGTAACAAAGTGAAAATAAATTCCAGCATAGAATGAGAAAGGGGAGAAAGGAAATCAATAAGGAGCTGTGATAGAATTATATGGTGCTGGGGACAGAGGGGACATCATCAAATGTCTCTTTAAGGAGGTGGGTAAAATTTTGACCCGAGGCTTGATGAGCAATCAGGAGTCAACCATGTCTAAAGCAGAAGAGAACAGCTAGACAAAGACTGATAAACACCAGGTCCGAGGCTGGAAAGAGCATGATGTTTTCTAATAAAGTGAGTATAAAGCAGAGAGGAGACTAGCAAAAATGCTGAGGGCTGAGACCAGAGTCTCCTCTCCGGTAGAGCCTAAGCTGCAGACACAGTATTTTATTCCAAATATGATGGTAGACTCTCACTGTAGGGTTTTATAGATGAAAATGACATAATGTGGCTCAAATTTTGTTTTTTAAATGCTACTGGGAGGAAGCATCATTAAAAGATAGAAAACTAGCTGGGGATATTGCACTAGTCTAGGTTTCAGATAATGGAGGTGTGGTCCAGGATGAGACTGAGGGTGATTGTACATGCTGGGCTGCCATGGAAGGTCTCATTTATGCCTTTTCCTAATTTGATTATCAATACACACCCTTTGACTCCTGAAAGTGGCTCAATTGGATAACAAGTGATAGGGGCACCCTGAAGATAGCAGTGCACATGGTGAGACTTGATGGGAAGTAGAATTGCGAGGGTTTGCTAATGGATTGGAAGTTATTGGGGGCAGAAGCAGAGAGTGAAGGAAAGGAAGAAAGCTAAAGCAATGGTCCTCATCCAAAGGACATTTGTGCCCCATCCCCCATCCACCTCCAAACTTCTCTCCCTCTCTCTTTCCCTCCCTCCCCCCCTCTCTTACACACACACACACACACACACACACACACACACACACACAATTTGGCAATCATGGCAATGTCTGCAAACATTTTGATCATCGCAAATGGGGTGGATATTCTACTAGCATCTACTGGGTAGAGACCAGGGATGCTGTGATGCATTCTACAATGCGTAGGACAGATAGACAGACAGACAGATAGATAGATAGACAGATAGATAGATGAATTATTCAGCCAAAAGGTCAATAGTGCCTAGGTTGAGTAACCTTGGTCTAGAATGGCACTCAGTTTTCTGATATTAAAACTCAGCAAATGTTAGTACTGTTTTATCCAAATGGGTAGCTGAGAAGGGACTACGCCTCCTTGGGGAAAGTAAAATATTTCATTTTAGTCATATCAAACTTCAACTTCCTATAATACATCCAAATAGTTACTTAGGAATTTTAAATTCACACTAACTAGTACAAAATATGTGTTTCATTGTAAATGTCACTGGATGAAGGTGAGATTTTCCTGTTCTGCAATAATTTCAATTCTACCAAGTCACTGGCAAGTTTTAAAAGCAATACTGCTGGGACAAATTCCTTCAGTTTACCTAATATAATTTTTAGATAAACACCGCTCCTAGATCTTAGCTCCTTGGCTATAGTAAAAAGTAGACCCTATTTTCCATATCTGTCAATGAATATGGATTTATTTCATACAGTATTAGAGCCTGATATAAACTATGATTATATATTTCTCTTCTCATCAAAGTTTCAGACCAGTCCTTGAGTCAAGAAAGGTCATTTGTCTAGTAGTACTTAGTTTTTATCTAGTTTTAAAAATTGTAGAGGAAGGACATTTTCAGTGCGACTCTGTCACTTCAAGCTTCTCAATGAAAGCAAAGTTGATATCTATGTTTAGCCCACATTAAGGACTCCTTCCTAGTCACCAGACCCTCTGCTAGCCTTAAGGTTGCAAAACCATCAACACTTATAGGTCACTGTGGGGAAGAAGGGGCAGGAAAAAACACATATATATCAATTTTAGCAGGCTAACTACACAGGTAAGTTTCTTAAGAGAGCAATAAGTGCATGAGCAGTACTAAGGATGGCTTTGTTTGGGGGAAGTTCAGAAGTGTTTCCAAAGGTGTGTCATTTGATTTGAGGCTTGAAATATGAGCAGGAGTTCACAGGCAGGAGCAACATGGGCATATGAGTGTACGCACATACACACACACACACACACACACACACGCACGCACACACCCCACCCCCACCCCCATACACACAAAGGAGGCAAGGAATTCTACATTGGGAATAACGTGCAAAATCAGTGATTAAAAGTGTGTCATATTAGAAATGCTGAAAAGTTCATGGCAAATGGCGTAGGAAGGAAAGTGCCAGGATCTGAAGTTGGAAAGGTAGGCTGAGGCATGATTGTGAGTGGCTACGCATGCCATGTTAACATACAAATTTTAGAGGTGATCTAATAAGTCAGAAATATAGAAGATTCAATTTTTGAAGGCAAAACTACAGAATATAAAGGACAAGAAGACTCTTATGTTGAGAAACTGCTGTTATAAGCAAAACAGAGTTACCCTGATATAGTCAAAGGTTATCCCAAGATATCTGGCTTAGATTAGGTAGATGAAGTTTGTGCTGTAAGAATGAGTGAGATGATAGTAGAGCAAATCTCAAGGACAAAAAGAGGCCAAGATAGGATGAAGAAAGAGAAAACCCAGAGGATAGTGGTATGACAAAATGCAGGTGGAGGAGGTTTCTTGAAGCAAAAGCTGCTAACAGTGTTAATGTAGTGAAATTGCCACGTGGGCCACAAAAGGAAAAGCAGCTTATTGAATTTGGCAAGCATATTAGGTAATGGAATACCTCAGTAAGGTATTTGGATTTTCAGCAAAGTGATGTGGAAAGCCAGACTGAAGTAGATTGAACATGAAGTGAGGTTGCTGTGTGGAACTCCGGTGGAAAAGCAAGTGAGAAACACACAGTGGTAGCGGAAGGGAAGAGAAAGTCAAGGTCAGGACGCTTGAATGTATTTTTAGATTGAGAAGACAAAGCCAGTAGAAAAAGGAGATCTTGAGGCTGTTGCAGCAACTGATAGCCTTGCGTTGGAGGAGGGGAAGACAGGTGCTGCTTTAGTAGTTTGGAAGTAGAGGAAAGGGAATTGGACAGACCTCTTCGTCTTTGGCCTTGCTTTCTTATATGATTTAGGAAGCTTGGCTGGAAGGAGTAGAGAACTCACAGAGGATTAAGAAAAATTGGTAAGAATTTGGGAAATCAGTTACAGAGAGAGGTAAAACAAACTAGGGGGAAATGAAAGTTTTGGTGAGTAGTTTAGGAAGCCCAGCCAAGTTCACCACCATCTCAAAGGTCTGAGTCCTAGATTTAACACTTAAAATGACTTGAGCAGGTGACTTATCTCTACCGCCTGTTTTTCACAAATAAAATGGACAAAACGGTAATCTTTGTCCATTCATATTATTACGAAAATGAAATGAAATTATATTTCTTAAAGTGACACAAATTATTAAATACCACTTAAATAATACTGGCTTGAGTCTGCACACTTAAAGACAAGACTTTTACATACATGTGACTATATAGCTGGGAACAGTGAAAGGCTGGCCTTGCAGTTATGTGGGCCCTGCTCCTTTTATTGCAAGAGCGGGATTTGTTCTGTTGGTTTTTGGAAGGCAGCTAAGCTCACCACTGTATCACCAGTGCTGTTGTGTTGGTTTTTGTATTCAGCCTAATTTTTCATTAGTGTCCTCAATGCCCCAAAACTGCATGCTACACTATTTGTTCTGGCATGGTCACAGTGATGTACTTGAAGCTTGCATTCAGGTATGTTCTGCTAAAACTCCTGAACACAATGTCCACCACATTCCCCTTACTTTGGTGCACTCAAATTCGGCTTAGAAACATGAGGAGTGGTCCTGACAGTGGACAGTGAAGCAGGAAATGCCATACTGCTTAATAAAGTTCTTATGGTCTCCTGATACACTTAGGGAAATGGCACACATGGCTTGTCACATGGTTGTATGCACTGCTGAGAATGTCAGGTCAACCACCATGCTATCAAATGGAAGTGCCTACAAAATAACCACTAGGTATCATTTAATCCACTCCTTTAATTTCACAGGTGAGCCAGCAAAGGTTCAGAGAAGTACTGTACAAAGACCTTCCCCAAGTCTAATTAGCTACTGAGGAACTGAGAAAGAAAAAGAACTCAGGTCTTCAGGACCATGTTCCATGTCTTTGCTGTTACGCTATGTCACTTTTCTTTGACAGCTCTAATCAGCAAACCCAACTGGACTTCCCTGGTAATCATAGATCTTACCTTCTTTCTGGGTAAACAAGCCTGCTCTTTCATCTCTTTTCTGAGCTGCTATCTGTTCAACCAATCTTTCAAGTCTATTCAAGGCCGTTCTGAAACTGTAAATCTGAAGTGAAAGGGAGCGCTTGTCCTTTGAGACATCCATATGGGCAGTGAATCTTTCAGGACAAAAATAAGACTGCAAACTTGCCAAAGTGGAAAATCCTTCAGGTTTTACAATTGCTTCTCTGCTGCCTCAATTTTTGCTCTATGTCTCATTCTTTGATCTTAGGAGTACCATTCTATGGATTACAGTAAGAGTTAGGATGTTAGGATGCTAGCAGGACAGCTGATTTATGTGCTCGTATAGACAAACAAACAGAAGTCCTGACCTCATAAAGTTACCAGTGTTCTTCATATGGTCTTCATTGCATCATAATATCTCTGTAACATTCTACTTTTGCACAAAGAGGACATTGAGATTCCCCTCCCTAGAGAGAGGGAGGGGGCTATCTCAAGGGAGGCAATTTGCTTTACACTAAAAAAAAGATATTCGAGCAGTAACCTGAAGGAAGTAAGGTACCAAATCAGGAGGTCCTGACATCACCATGTGCTTGACACATCTGAGAAACATCAACGAGACCAGTGTGACCAAAGGTGACGTGGGATGGAAGAGAGGGGTAGAGAGATAAGGGCAGAATCAGGAGACAGTGGTCAGATTATGTAGGACCTTCCAGGCTGTTGCAAGGACTCTGGCCTTTATTTCCTCTGAGTGAGATGGGAAGTTTCGGGGCAGAATGGTGATGTGATTGTTCCAGCTGCTCCAGCTGCTCTGTGAAGAATAAGATGAAAGGGCTAAATGGTAGAGCAGAGAAACCAGTTAAATGGCAATTTCAGAAATCCAAGCAAGAGATAATAGGTTAGTGTGTGGACTGTATTTAGACGCTGAATCTACAACCAAATGGGAAACTAACTGCAACACTTAACAACTGCAAACTTGGATGCTAACTAGATATTTGGTATTAAGAAATAGTTGTTCATTGTATTACCACGGTATATCTACAACTAAATAGTTGTTCATTGTATATCAGAGTATACCACATACTCTGATAATTATATTTTATGCTATATTGCTTGTCTTAGGTTATTCTTGCTGCTCTAACAAAATACTTTAGAGTGAGTAATTTATAAACATCAGAAATGTATTTCTCATAGTTCTAGTAGCTGGAAAGCCCAACATCAAGGCTTCCACAGATTTGGCATCTGACAAGGGCACTATTCCTCAGAGATAACTATGGGTCTTCATGGAAGGAGAAAACAGGTTCCTCCCATCTGTTTTATAAGGGCTTTAGTCCCATCTATGAGAATGAAACCCTTATGACCTATTCACCTCCCCCAAATCACTCCTCTTCATGCCATCAATGTGATAATTAGGTTTCAGTATATGAATGGAGGGCACAAACATTCATATCACAGCACTGATTTTTTTGCAATATTATGCTGTGGCATTACCCATTCAAAATATTTACAAATAAGTAGTAAAGTATGAAGAAACATATAGTGCCTTGTGCAAGGTACTGCTGATAGTCTATATAAAGTATGGAGTAAAAACTAACCATTAGAATGTGGATTATAGTGACCTTGAGAAAAGTCACAGTCAGTGGAATGGCGAGTTAAGAGACGAAAGGAAGTATGCAAGCAGGTGTATTAGCTTTCTGGAACACCTTAAAGATGTTTGCTGAAGCAATTCACAGTTATTATGACCATTTATAAAGGATGTAATTGTATTTTTATTTTATCAATTATAAAAATGATACAGTCATAAATTTAAAGAACATTAAGAGAAATCACCCATGCTCCACTACTCTCAGAAACTATTAACTTTAAAAAATTAGGCCACATACTCTGATAATTTTATAGTTTAAGTACAACTATGTGGACTATTTCAATTTTAATGTATTATTTCATAAAATTCTCTCTGTGTTTCTAATAGCTTTTGTTAGTGTAATTTTTCTTTCTTTTTCATCTATTTTCCTCAAATGTTATTTTATTAATTACTTTTTACATAGAAATGACCATGAAAGGTAAGTGACTTTTTTTAAAAAAAGCTAGAAGCAAACACACTTAGCTACAAGAAAAGAAATGATATTGTTAGGAAAAGACACTAGGAAAAAAAAAGGCAGGCTGGATTCTCTGCAGTAGTTTGGCTTCAATTCCCGTGAGTAGTATGAGAACCAGGTATGGAAGCCAGCACATGAGACCACATGCAAGGTCCAGGGTTCATCCTCAGCTGGTCTCTCATGTGGGTCAGGTAGCAGCCATCTGTAGGAATCCTGTTGGAGAAATAGGTTGTTTTTTGTTTCCTGCTTCTGGTTCACCATGGCCAGCTCAGTTGTCAGGATAAATTGAAGAAGAACTTCTCTGTATAGAATGAGCATTCTCAGGTGATGCCTGAGGCAGGGTTTGGAGACAGAGAAGTTCAACAGTGTATGTCCCTTCTAAGCAGGAGGTGCTAAGAAATTGGGCCAGGCTCACACAGACATATTCAAAATAAAAGATGGCAAATGATAGAAGGCATCTTAATAACAACACTCTTCCACATGTCTGTCTCTAGTTCTAGAGTCACATTTGTGCAGCAGGGACTGATGCCTTACAGAACACTGGAGCACAGCTCTCACACTGCTCCCTCTCTTTCCTTCACCGTATTTTGGGAACTTCCTTATCCTCAAGTTGTATCTTCTGTCTTCCTTTTCTATGGCTTATCCCCTCGTTTTGATGGCTCACATATAGAAACAGTGCTTGGGCGGTACCTTTCTTTTCCTTAGGGCAGGGGATTGAATCCTTGTGCTTGCCAGGCAAATGTTCTACCATTTAGTTACTATGTGTTCTACCACAACACGCTGCTTCACCACAGGCCCAAAAACAGCAGAGTCAACCAATCATGGACTGAACTTTACAAAACTATGAGTCAAAATAAACTTTTCTCTTTATAGGGTGATTATCTCTGAGGTTTATTATTGTGGTGGAAAAGTGGCTAATAAAAGTAGTAAGGTTATAAATGAGATTTCATTTTATTTTATTTTATTTTATTTTATTTTTATTTTTATTTTTTGGTTTTTCTCCGGTACTGGGAACTGAACTCACGACCTTGCGCATGCCAGGCAGGTGCTTTTGCTGCTGAGCTAAATCCCCAGCCCCTGAAATTTCATTTTAAAAACAAATATATATGCAGTTTGGGGGGGTGCAGACAGGTATACAGTTTATACGCTAAAGTGATACCCATATTTCACCCATCTGAGGAGGTATATGAACACAGAGAAATGATAGTTAGAACTTGAAGGATGTAGATTTATTTAAAGTTCAATTATAGTCTCTAAATTATATTCCTAAACAGAAAAATGTACAGATACATTGGGTGAGATTTTCTCAAGGGCTCTTCTGCTTCTCAACAAAGACTAAGGTTACAGGACAGGGAATGACATTTCCCCAGCCCTGGGAAGGAGATTAGTTGATTTGGTAAGGGCTGAAGTTCTTTCTAAGCTGATACATACATGACCCAGAAGGTTAGGGGTTATCAGTTATTTCCAACAAGAGTGTCAGACAAAACAGTCACCATTCCCCCTTCTACACACTTTGCAAAGGACATTCTTGGCATATAGATTGTGATGACTTACTACTCTGGTGTAGGAAGATATTAAATGAACTTCTTTGGCCTTGGGCGTAATCTCACAAAACAAAAAGGCTTGAAGAATTCCCACATTGGAAAGCCCTGGAAGTACGATGTGTGGAGGCACTAGGAAACAGTTCTGCATGCATCTGCTCATTATCACCTCCACACTATTTAGGAGAATGTGACAAGCTCATTAGGAGACTAAGAACAGCCTTAATGAGCACTTGGAGGAGCCATCACTTGCCTCTGTTCTTTCCATCCAAGGAGCACTGGTTGGAGAGACTGAGGATAGTCAGCTATCCACAGAAACAATTCTTGAATTGAGTGGGCAAGAATGGATACATATTCACATACAGCAGATTAGACTTGAAGTAGAGGGAACAGACTGGGTCATACTGGGAGAAGGCCTAGTAGGGAAGACAGCCTGCACTGTTTCAGGAACCCTCAGCATGGGCTGAGAGGGAAACCAGACACAATGATAAAGCAATGCCTCTGTCAAGGGAGATAGATGTATAAGAAGAATCTCAGAGAGTTTAGGTTTCTAAAGAATCCACAAATCATCATAGATAAGAAAAATGTAGCATTTAAAATCTGATATGATCAGAGGGTACTAACATCAGGGGATGACTTCACCAATCAAGAAAGGTTTTTCCTTGCAGATCGTGGGAAAGTAGCACCTATAGAGAGTAGTGGGTCAAGAAATGGGAGAAGCTGAACTTGTTGTTTTTCCTACCTTTACATTTGCCATATAGAGAGCCAAGATTTGCAGTAAAACCTCACATACATAGTCAGTTTGTAGCAGAAAGCCCCCCCAGCCAGTATATTTCAGTTGCTCAGGTGACAGTTCCTGTTGCAGTTCCAGATGCTACTGTCTCCTAGAAATGGCTGGTCACTGTGATGCATATTGTAGGAACCAATCAAAGAAAGCCAAGTACTCTACCTCTCTACCTCCCCTTTGCAACTCCGTAAAAACCTCCCTCCCTGAGCCTTTGAGGCTTGACATTTTGGGAATGATCCTGATCAGTGTCTGCTGATGTAAATAAATCTGCCTCCAAATCCTGAGTGTCATTTTAGTGTTTCTGTTTGCCATAGTGTCTGGTGAATCAGCTGGAAAGACCACCCATGCTGACCTCTTTGTTCATGGGTCATGACCCTCACAGACAGAGCAAGGACCTCTTCAGGTCCTGACAGGAAGATGTACCCTTGAGATTTCTTGAATATCCTCAGAAGTCTGGAGGAGCATTCCTGGCTCCCTGCTCAAGCGGCTCACATCAGATCCCAAAAGGAGGAGGACACTGTCTGCCTGCCTGCCTGCCTGATTCTGGTAAGACCCCTGGGGGTAGCCCAGTTAGTCCATCTGTCAGTCTTGCACAGCTCGAGAAGAAGGACAGCCTGATAAACTCTCATTAGTTATGACCACCCTTGAGGGAAAGGGGTTGGATTATTTAACCTCCAAGTGTCTGTTGAATGAATGTGTGAGTGGAATGGACAGCATAAGCAATAGGTTGCTCTGTCTGTGCACCAAGACTGGGAAGCACTGGTCATAGTGGCTGATTGGGCTCTCATCTGTGGTTCCATGGTGATCAACACATAGTAGAATGAAGGCTTTACACCCTCCTTAGCTAAGTCATGCCTATGTCCCTGCGAGGGGCATGGCATCTGAATGGTCTCTCTCTGAGGGGCACCCACCCTTTGTCTTTTGTGCCATTGTTCAAGAGTATACAACACTCACATAGGAAGTCAGAGATGGGAACTAATTAGTCAAAACCCACAGTTCCTGACTGCAGAAAAAGGGCTTTTCTGAGATTATGGAGTTTAAAATGAAACCAAACCACTCAAAGAAAAAAAAAAAGAGGTCCATTTTTCCTGAGAACTCCACTTTGGCACCCTTGTTCGCCGTTTCAGTTGCTGCCAACACCTATAGCTTCACTTCCCACTCCCAACTCATCTTCTTCCAGCCAACTGAACTGGTTCCAGCTAGCCATTGCCTGCATTTGGCCACATAGGCCGGCCCTCCAGAGCCTTCTGCTTCTTATCCTGGTTGCGGGGGGGTGGGGGTCATCGAACACTTCCCAAGACGACTGTCAGCAATTCCTTCCGAGATCCACATTTTGATTGAGGACAAATTGGACTGTCAGCTTTGATGAATGAGTTGCCATTGCCTTTCCCAAAGGTCACATTGCTTAGAAACATAAAATCCGTCGAGTGCTTCTCAAGCACATCAAAGAGGGGGGACAAAAGGAAAAGGCCCTCTCTATCAGGAAAAGGTCACCATCACCAGGGCAACTGGGACTCTTACCTCTCAGTCCTTCTGCCAGGCAAAGTCTTACAACCTGGGAGGACATCTTACCAAACATGAATTCCTGTATAAGCCAGTCCCCACACTGCTCTGGGAAGAGACCTCCTCTTCAAGTTAGAAGCAATTATCTCCTTTGTACCAAGCCAGTCAGCCTCCCTCTCATTTAACCCTGCACTTTCAACTCTGACTGTTGCTGGGGAGGAAAATGATGCCTGCATCAGCCTGAGACAGACAACTGTAATCCTGAAATTCTAAAAACTCTCTTCCCAGAGGTATGGATCCAAGACTCACCCCTGGGTCTGACCACCAACCATGCTGTGACTCCCATTGCTGTCAGACAATATATATGTCATGGGAAGCACACAGGCATCCAGCCACATCTCAGCCACCTAAAGCAGTTTGGAAATCCTGATAGACTGTTAATCACCTCAAAACACTCTTCTCCTCCCACTAAAAATGCCCAGTGGGGATTACCAGCGAATGCAAGATCTCCACGACATCAACAATCCAGCCATCACCTTGCACTCTGTGATTCCCAACCCATACACTCTTCTTGGACTGCTACCTGCAGATGCCGCCTGGTTTACACGTCTAGATTTAAAAGATGCCTTCTTCTGCTTGTGGGATGTGCTGCAATCTTCAACTGAGAAAATCCTGAGACAGGACAAAAAGGCCAGCTCACTTGGACTCAATTGCCACAAAGGGTTAAGAACTCTCTCACTATTTTCAGGGAGCCTCTAAGAACAGATGTGGCCAAGCTACAAGCGCCTTTTTTCTGAGGCAGCCTATTTCTCGGTCCCCTCTTGTTTGTCATCATGGTCCCCCCCCCAAAAAATAATAGACTGTCAAACTGCTAAAATACAGCTCTCCTCCCTGTAAAGCCAGCTCAGGATCTCTGAGTTGCAAAGATGCCATGATTACCTTCCGTATACATTGCCTTAGTCTTCTGCCACCCACAGCCTAATGGTACATCTGCCTGGACCTAAAGAATGCCTTCTTTTGCCTTTGATTGGCTCCTGTCAGCCAGTCCCTTTTCACCTTTAAGGGAAAGACCTCAGTTCTGGATACAAAAGTCAACTGGCCTTGACTCAACCTTCCAGAAGTTCAAAAACTTGTTTATCCTCTTTGGAAAAGGCTTCACAGCTGACCTTGCCAGTTTCCCAGCACAAAATATCACTGAACTTCTGATCAATGACACCCAAGCTGCCTGTTGGAGAGGCTCAAAAGCTCTGCTGCAATATCTGGCAGAAACTGGTTACAAGAAAGAAACTGAAAATTTCTTGGAGCTGCTGGCTTCTACAAAATCTGGATCCCTGAGTTCACAAAAATTACGCTTACTCAGATTGTCAGTTCCTGGGAGCACCCAGTGAACTACCTGTACAAATATTTGGATCCAGTTGCTAAGGGCTGCCTCTCTCCTTTGCCTCTGTGCACTTATAGCCACTGTCCTTCTGATCAAAAGCCAGACAAGCTAACCTTAGCCTAAGTCCTAACTGTCCAGATGCCACATGCCATATTGGACCTCCTGAATAACTGTAGACTACTCAATCCTGCCACATACCTGCCTATCAATCTGGAGCACCCCAGAGCATGACTCCCTGGCACTAACTGATAAACTGTTTTCAAGCCAACCAGACTTTAAAAAATGGACCCCTTGACAGATGCTGAGTATACACTGTTTAACAGATGGAAGTAGCTCTGTTAGGAATGGAGTCTGACAGGCTAGATATTTTGGGAAAAGCTCTCCTGCAGGGATGGTGTGCACAACAAACTGCTTCCTACTGCTGTCTGGAAACCTGCCACCAACAATGCCAAACCCATGCTCAAAATAATCCAATCCAGAGGCCTAACCCCCCTCCAGGGAGCCAACTGACTGAAACACCAACCCTAGCCAGAAATCTTCAACGAGTACTCCTGGAAGATCCATCTTAATTAGAGCCAGATCTGCCCCCACCATATGTTCTGCAAGCTCAAGCCACAGTGCCAGCACCTATACCCCTGCAGCCAGCTCAGGCTTTAGCACCTGTGTTGCCGGCCTTGACCTCTACCCAGATATACAGATAGACTTAGTGTTCATCTGCACCTAGTTGGGCTGGCCTGAGGCATTCCCTACTCAAGCTGACAGGGCAGCAAAAGTTTGTAGGGTCCTGCTGTGAAAAATCATCCCTAGATATGGCCTACCCTTGACTACTGGCAGTGACAACAGTCCTGCATTTGTAGAGGAGATAACAAAATAGAAATTACATATAGCATACATGCCACGAAGCTCCAAAAAGTTAAGAAACATAACCCTACAGAAACTGTTTGTAACTAGCTCCATAAAATTTATCTAAAAGACCAGCTATACCTGTAGACACCTCTACACACAAATACAACCCAGGTGCATATTAACCACCTCTACGAGTTTCAAAAATACAGCCTTAGATCATTCATTCCAAAGTTAAAAGTCCATTCAGACAATTGCTGTAGAGTTTACCTGGACCGCTCTTTCAGGACTCACTTAGAAGAGACAATGCACTCAACAGCCCTGCTCTGATCACTCCAGATGCTGACCAGTCCATGCACAGCTAAAGTCTGAGGACACCATTCACAGGATTGCTCCATACTTCAATGCTTGATTCACCTTAATTATGGGGCCTTTTCAGGATGCTTACCCTAGTCCTTGCTTCCATTTCAGCTTGCAATATTGTATTGTCCAACTTGGTTTTTGCTCCTCTCCTCCGCTAGCTGTGGTTTTTGATAGTTAGTCAAATAAATACTTGACCAAGATTGGATGAGCATCGAAGGCATATTGGACATTCTCCTAGATCAAATTAACTCCTTTGCTCTCTTGCCAGAGTAAATTATGGCCACCAAGGGTGAAACATATCTCTTTCTAAAAGCAACTTAGGGAAAATAAGGGAAAGCTTTCCAATCTTGGGGACTTTGGCTAGGGCCCATCCTGGGACCATTGAATGTTACTGCTTCTAGTTTGGTGTTGTCTCAAAAGATCACATATAACATGGACAGCAAAGATTTTCTTGGGAAACTAAAAGAGGGGGGAAAATGTAGCAGAAAATGTCATCCCCCCAGCTGGTATATTTTGATTGCTCAGGTGACAGTTCCTGTTGCAGTTCCAGTTGCTACTGTCTCCTAGAAATGGCTGGTCACTGCAATGCATAGCTCTTCACTACAATGCATATTGCAAGAACCAATCAAAGACAGCCAAGTATCCTACCTCTGTACCTCCCCTTTGTAACTCCATAAAAACCTGCCTCCTTGGGCCTTTCAGGCCTGATATTTTGGGAATAATCCTAATCAGTGCCTACTGACTTAAATAAATCTGCCTCCAAATCCTGAGTGTCATTTTGATGTTTCTGCTTACCGTAGCAAATTGACTTTCAGTAAGGATGCCAAGACCATTCAGCAGGGAAAGGATATCCTTTCCAACAAATGCTGGAGAAACTGTTCACCCATACACAAAAGATTGAAGTTGAACTTACATCATACATGTAACATTATATATGTTACATCATACATAATATTCACTCAAAATGGATCAAAAACCCACATGTAAGAGCTAAATTTATAAAACTTCATTTACTTTTACAGTGGTAGTATCTTGCCACTATCTATCATAATTAATCACACACATCAATATGTAAATCTGAAACTGACAAGAAACATTGACAAATGAAATCATATATGTGGTATCTTCCTTGAAAATCCTCAAACATTTGCCAAAAGCCTTTCTTCCTCCTTTGTATCCACTGTTATTATTCCTCTTGCATAGGCATGGCCTAGGGCTTTACTCTGACAGTGCAAAAGGCAAACTCCTTGTATTACAATCTCTACCTCATTCCTAGTCTCATTCTATTCCAGCCACTTTAGCTTTCTTGTTGTTCCTCTACCACTTCAAACACAGATTCACTTTAGTACCAGGATTTTGTGTGTGCAATATTTGGTCAGTACTATCCTTAATCATACTGGTTTTTTAAAAATTTTTTATTTTAAAGAAAATAGTACAAAAAAAGAACAATAGCAAAATACAAACAAAACAAAGCAAGGACATTAAAAATGATACAGAGTTTCAAACCAAATGATAGGGATTAACAGTGGTTGTTTTGGTTTGTTTCTGTGGTACTGGGGACTGAACCCAGGGCCTCCGCAATGACTACATCCTCATTTTTTATTCTGAGACCAGGTCTTACTAAGTCACTAAGTTCCCTAGGCTGATCTCCAACTGGCAATCCTTCTGCCTCAGCCTTCCAGAGTGCTGGGACTACAGGTATGCACCACCATGCCCCATCCTGTCATATCTTAATAATAATCCACTTCTCCTTTCTCATACTTTTTGTCTGCTTTATGTTATGGTTTGTGTCTGGATGTCCCCCAAAGCCTCATGCAGTCATACAGCAGGCTTCTGGAGTTTATGATTGATTCATGGGTGTGAGTGCTACACCTGCCCTGGGGCGGGTAGCTTGCATACATTGTAAGGGAGGGAAAGAGGCTGCTCCTGGAACTCCGCCCCTTGTGCTCATGTTGCTTTTGCCATCTTCCACTGCCCTGAACTGTTGTCCTCTGCCATATGCCAATCTGTCTTGGACCCAGCTGAGCGAGTATGGACTGAAACCTCCACAAACTGTGAGCTAAATACACTTTTTCTTCTTTAATTTTGGGCGTCAGATATTTTGTCTCAGCAATGAGATTAAAGTAACCAAGACATCTTATAACACATTATCACATTTAGAATCTGACTTTCCACATTTATTCTGATCTGGTTATTGTCTACTGTCCCAACACTGCTGCATTGTAAGCTTTCTGAGGCAGAGCACCAAAGAGTGAATGAAACATTTAGAACACAGGACAGCGAGTCATTCATCCAACTAATACTTTGAGAACTTACTGTAGAGGGAGAACTATACTGAAAACACAGTAAACATGAGACATACAGAACTTGTTAAATGTATGTCTAAAATCTAAAATAAGCATATTTTGAGGGTAGATGGCTAGTTTCATAAATGGCAAGTCCGATTAAAAGCCTTAACTGCCCCGTGGCTATTGTTCAATGCAACAGCATGAAAAACTGACCACCAGTCGATTAGATTCTCTCTGCGGAATCTGGAACTGGAATTCACTGAAGCTAGTCATTCCTCACTGATCTTTTGCACCCAAGTGGGCGAGATGGGGCAGTTACATAAGCTTTTACTCACTCCTGCTGGTCACCAGTTCCCTAGGACAGCTTGACGGGGGGTGGGTTGGGGGGGGGGGGGATGAGGCCATTTTAGGGTCTGTGCAGAACAGAGGCAAAGGCATCCTTGAAGAGTGCGATCACGTTCACAATCTATATTTGACTTGCACTATATTTTCATTGCTACTGGGGAAAAGGCCCAGTGGAAAACGTGTGCTGTTCTAAATATAGCTCCTACTTCTCTATACCTGTCAGATTTAGGTTGAAGCTTTGGGGGCACAGCCCAGGCAGTCACCTCCAGGAAGGGCTTCCGCAGACCGGGACAGATCTGTCCCTGTCTCAAGGCAGGACGGAAGGACGTGGAGTCCAGTCGGGGCTTAGCCTCAGTCCTCTAATGCCATCCTTCCTGGTCCTGAAGCCCTGAGGGTAGCAGGCGTGCAACCCCTCCCTGCTGCAGCCCTCGGCCCTGTCCTCCAGCTCTCAGATTCTCTATCACTTTACCTTTCTTCTCCCCCCATTTCGTTGTTTCTGCGATTGTTTGGCTAGTGCCCTCTCCCAAGCTTTTCGACCTGTTATTTTCTTCGGTTTACAATAAGTTATGGCAGGTAGCATTAGTACAGCTTTTCAGAAAGAGAGGAAGACTAGCGTGAGCATGGGCATCAATATTTATAAGTGAACGGGCGAAGGGACACGATGGTCTCAAACTGGGTGCGGGGAGACGGGGTGTGAGGAGCCACTGATACAGTCGCTCCCAACCTCCAGACCGGCCCGCGCGCATCCACGCTGGGGTAGAGATGAAGAACCCGGACCTGGGCTAGGACAAAGGAGCCGCGATGGGTGGAGCTACCGGAGCGCAACGGTGGGCGGGGACGCGCAGCCAAAAGGGCGGGGCTACGAGAGCGCCTGGGGGGCGGGACGCGCACCGGAAAGGGGCGGCACCAGGAGGAGCGCGGGCGGAAGGGGCGGAGGAGGGCGGTCCCGGCGCGCGGCGCCCGCCCGCACCATGGCCAAAGCGGGCGGCCGTGCTGGAGCTCCAGCCCCACCCAGTGCGCTGCGCGCCGCGGGCCGCCCCGCTCGTTGTGTGGGCGCCGGGCCATGTACTCGGGGAACCGCAGCGGCGGCCAGGGCTACTGGGAGGGCGGCGGGGCCGAAGGACCGGCGCCGGCGGGGACGCTGAGCCCCGCGCCGCTCTTCAGCCCGGGCACCTACGAGCGCCTGGCGCTGCTGCTCGGCTCCCTCGGGCTGCTGGGCGTCGGCAGCAACCTGCTGGTGCTCGTCCTCTACTACAAGTTCCAGCGGCTGCGCTCTCCCACCCACCTCTTCCTGGCCAACATCAGCCTCAGCGACCTGCTGGTGTCCCTCTTCGGGGTCACCTTTACCTTCGTGTCCTGCCTGAGGAACGGCTGGGTGTGGGACGCCGTGGGCTGCGTGTGGGACGGGTTTAGCAGCAGCCTCTTCGGTGAGTCGGCCGGGAGGGGACGCTTCCTCCCTCCTCGCAAACTTCTCTTTCCGCCTTGCCGCAGCCTCGGTGCGTCCCCGTCCCGCTCAGCCTGGGTGCCCGCTTCCCTCCCCCCCACCTCCCCCTGTCCCCGTCCCCGACCCCGACCCCGGCCCCGAGCTCCCAGCGCGCCTTCCTCCCGCGCCTCCCGCACCCGCGCTGCCAACCCCGCCGGCCCTGATCCCGCCCTCCCCAACTTCTCCGTGCTCCAGCCTCCCCGGAGCACTCCGGACCCCGTTGTCACCTCCTGACACAGTGCAGCAGCGCATTTCAGTTTGGGGAAGGAAACGAGGGCCTCTGAAGTCAAGATGTTCAAGGAAAAAAGTGATTAAGTTGGAGGAGGGAACAAAACGATTTAATTCATACGCTATGACTTTCCTGAAAGGAAAGGTAGAAACCTAAAATAGCGCTGTATGTATTTTTTCTTTTGTTCATTAGGAGTTGTAAACTTTTGAATGCTTCCCAAGGGGTGATATAGCTTCATTCATGTCCGCTATAGCTTCTTTCATGCCCCCAGAATGCAAAGTGGCACGTGTCCTGTAAGCTATTTTTACTGTATTTTTTTCCTCCGTTATACCATACCACACTCTTAAATTGAGATTACCTGTGCCTCAGAGAATCCCATCTCAGGGGGACAAATTGCTGTGCAGGCAGTAGGTTTCATTAAAGTAGAACTTGATAGTTAATTGAAGATTTGTTTCTAAAATTATTTCTGATCATTGCAGAAGTTTTAAGTGTCAGTGAGACTTGCCTTTTTGAAGACCACCAATTCAGGATATTATTCCTTCTATGGGAAGGAAATTATTTTTTTTCTGTGTGCCCCAGGTATTTCATTTATACAAAGGTTTGAAGTGGAAATGTGTATTTCTCAGGTTTTAAGATTCCTTTTTAAGTCTTGAAATCCGCTGATAATTTATAACTGCTTTTATCTTGGCAGATGTTGGAGAGCAGTCTTTGTAGCATTATCACAAATATTTTCTTATTCTCCAGCCTACTGTGCCCTGACAAACCCAAATACTGTGGTGTTGTAATGATTCTTTTTTTTAATTATTATTTTGAAGGAAACAAAATGTCAGAGAAGTCATGAATCATTTGGCTTGCCTCCGTGATGTTAATATTTTCTTCTTCCCCAATAAACATGAACCTGAGCATTTCCTTTGTACAAAAATGTGGAACCTGGGGAGGGAACTATGTATGTAGGTGATGATATTGATGAATATGTGATTACACTCTTTACGTTAATTAAAAATACCTACCAGGCAGATCTTTAGGCAGGCCTAAGCTTTAAAGAAAGGAATTGTAGCCCAAGCCTGAAGTGTCATCATTAATGCTCCCTAGTGTGGGCATCACGTGTTTGTTCACAGGCATGAAAGTTCTTATTTCCATAAAGTGCCTTTTCTCTGCTCAGAAATTCTGTTTCTGCACCTGGGAGTTTAAAAACAAGGATGCATTGAATTTTTTATAAATGCTAGCATTCACTCTCTTCTCCCCTCTGCAACACTCACTCTTCGGTATCTCCTACACTCTTCCTTCTGACCTTCACCATTCCTGGTGGAATCCCTTTCTAATCAGAATTTGTTTTGTAAGACTGCTGGAAACCATCACCACCTGGCATTTTACCCTACGTCTACTCTGTTTCTCAGGGCATTTCAATTAATGCTTTCAACTGCAACCATATTCCCATTTTAAAATTAGAGACAGACACTTAGCTGAGAGGATCAGAGATTTTTTTTTTGTACTGGGACAGGGCCTTGCACTTGCCAGGCAGGCACTGTGCCGCTGAGCTATATTCCCGGCTCCAGGATTAGAGATTTGTTAAACAAGAGACAAGAATGAGTGATGTTATTGTAGGGTTTAAAATGTTCTTAGTTAAGGTAGAAAATTTCTTTGCCTGAAGTGTGCTTTTAGATTGAGTTAAGGAAGGAGAAAGGGAAACTACTTCACCTCTCAATCCCTGAGCAAGAACTAACGATAAAGAAGTATTAAAGGGAGAAGAAATTTTAAAATGCCAGAAGTAGCTGGTTGCTCCAAGGGCTTTGGAAGGGCTGCCTTATCTAGTGGGAAAACCACTGGTCTGATTGCACAAGGGTGGGCCCTGTTCTTGATCCTGTGGCTGATTGTGTGGGCCTTCCCAATTCATTTTATCTCCGCAACAACAATTTTCTTGTCTTTTTCAAGAAGTGGTTGAACTTAATGTTCTTGAAGCTGATCCCACTTCCTTTGCGTTTTGAAGAGTCTCTTGATCCCAGCAGGTTAAGAAGAATCTTGGGGTTTATGTCCTGTGCATTCATCTCTTACTCCCACTCTCAGCCTTGTCCCCTGCCAAGCCAAGAAATACACATGCTGTGGTTGCACTTCTTCATAGGTTCTGTCTTCCTCTTCACACCTGCTGGAAGGCCAGATAAGTAATGGAGAAATACATATTTGGACCAGTAGACCAGATACCTGCTTTACTCTGTGCTCAAATCCTGGCTTCTCAGCAAATGCTGAAAATAAGTGGAATCTCTGATAGTCTGGAGGTAGAATATGAATGGATAGGATTGTTAGGATCAGCATTTCAGTTAAATTGACCAGGCAAATCAGAGACGTAGTCAGTTAGTTATGTAAGTTGATTGAATGACTTATTTTACCAATATCCAAAATAATCATTTCTCTTAGCATTGGCAGGTCCAGCTTACAAAATCATTTAAATTTTAATAGATTTAGCAATAGTGAACCTTATACATTAAAAGGAAAACAAAAAAAACCCTCACTGTTACTGTGCATTGATGAACCACAGAAACGCTAGCACTGTGGGCTGTACAGTACATTAGCCAGAAGACTTCCAGGTAAGTAAGTCCTTCAGGTCATTGGCTGTCTCATTTCTGGCTACAGCGAATGTCAAACAGGAATTCTACATGTGGAATATAGCCAACATCATGCTAAAGTTAGCAGGAGAGATTTTCTTCACTACCCTTTCAAAAACAAGAAATAGCACTTTAGTCCTGGTAGAGGATATTTTTAAAAAACCTTTCTTGGGATACAGAGATTCAGGGTTGCAGAGATAGTCTGACAAAATGCAAATATCACTGTATTCAAATGTTAGAAATAGATGTTTAATTATTTTAATATCTAAATCTAGGAATTTTTAAAGTTTATAAAACACATGCACATTACATTTATATAAAGATGTTATAAGTACCTTTTATTCCCTCAGTAAGCATAGTTTGTTGTACCTAAGTATTTTTTTTTTTAATACCAGATGTTTTACTGAGTTAATTCTTTGTAAAAATCAGCAAGGTTAACTCAAAATATTCTCATACTGCTGCCACAAATCCCAAGGGTGTTTGGGCCATTAAAAGGTTTATTCCACTGCTCTGGAATCACCCCTGTTGTTTGTTGGTCTCAGAAACATTTCTTGCTTGTGATGGTAGACACATAGTATGTTACCTGTTTCCATAAACACAGTGAAGCTAAGCATTTCTTTTATTTTTAAGCTCATACTGTATACTTAAGTATTTTATTTTTATTTGTTTTGTTTTTTGAGACAGGATCTCGCTATGCAGTTTAGACTGGCCTTAAACTCTATGTATCCTGGGCTGGCCTTGAACTTGCAGCAGTCCTGCCTCAGCCTTCCAAGTCCCAAATACTAGGATTACAGATGTGCACCACCATGCTTGACTTACTCTGTTATTTTAAAAGCAAGGAATTGCGTTCATTTTTAAAATTTTCGTGGGACATTATGTCTATTCTTTATTATCGCATTGCCTGATTTGGGAGTGGTGGGTATATGTCTATTGTTCTTTTTTAAGAAATTAGAAACTATGTGAAAAAGCATTTTTATGACTTGTTAGTAGAGGTTTGTATCCAGATAACAAGTCAGGCCCCAATGGATTATAACTGCTGTTGCATGAAATTACTTTTATATTGTTTACAATTGTATTTTTTCTTGAATTTTCTTCTTTCAGAGAAGAGTTCCAGTCACAAATGCATATCTGATGTATTTTGGCATTTACTGCTAAGATGAAATGCAGGAATGAAAACCACACATCCATTTTAATATTCTCAGATGTGATTAGATGTACTTTGTCATGTTTCTATGCTACTGACTTGTTAAAAAAAACTTAAGAAAAGGTAACCAACAGCTAGGACCTGCAAACTCAGTGCTGCTGGAAGAACTGGAACATTACAAGGAGAGAGTTTATTACAGCGTAGTCACACCTCAGCTGAGCGTCAGCCTAGATTCACTTACTTTCTTCATCAGAAGCTGTTACCTGAACCTTTACTTCCTACAATGGCAGACAATCTTCCCACAGAGTTTGATGTGGTTATAATAGGGACAGGTTTGCCTGAATCTATCCTTGCAGCTGCATGTTCAAGAAGTGGACAGAGGGTTCTGCATGTTGATTCAAGAAGTTACTATGGAGGGAATTGGGCTAGTTTCAGCTTTTCAGGATTGCTTTCCTGGTTGAAGGAATATCAGCAAAATAGTGACACCAAAGAAGAAACTGCTGCTGCCTGGGAAGACTTGGTCCACGAAACAGAAGAAGCCATTGCTCTCTGCAAGAAAGATGAGACCATTCAGCACACGGAAGTTTTCTGTTACACCAGCCAGAATGCAGAGGACAGTGTCTATGAGATCGGTGCTTTGCAGAAAAATGCTTCCTCAGTGGCATCTAGTACCCTCACTAAACCTCTGCATTCTGCAGAGTTGCCTGAAGAAAGGCACTCACACATTACTAGCAATGAAATGCCTGCTAAGTATACCCCAAAAAGTGATAGCAAGATTTCACTAGAAGAAACTGATGTAGAGGAATCACTAGAGAAAGAAAAGTACTGTGGAGATAAAACTTGTGTACATCCAGTTTCAGATGGAGATAAGGTTGAAAACAAGCCTACCGTAGAAGACAATATGAATCAACCAAAGAGAAGTGTGATTACTTACCCTCAAATGGTTAAAGAAAGCAGAGGATTTAATATTGATTTGGTATCAAAGCTGCTGTATTCTCAAGGATCACTGATTGATCTTTTAATCAAATCAAACGTTAGTCGTTATGCTGAATTTAAAAATGTCACTAGGATTCTTGCATTTCGGGAAGGAAAGGTAGAACAGGTGCCTTGCTCCAGAGCAGATGTCTTTAATAGCAAAGAACTCACTATGGTTGAGAAGAGGATGCTAATGAAATTTCTTACATTCTGTGTAGACTATGAACAGCATCCTGATGAATACCAAGATTTCCAGCAATGTTTGTTTTCTGAGTACTTAAAAACTAAAAAATTAACCCCCAACCTCCAACATTTTATACTACATTCAATTGCAATGACATCAGATTCGTCTTGCACGACATTAGATGGCCTTAAAGCAACAAAAAACTTCCTGCAGTGTCTTGGACGGTTTGGCAACACTCCCTTTTTATTTCCTTTGTATGGCCAAGGAGAAATTCCTCAGTGTTTTTGCAGGATGTGTGCTGTTTTTGGTGGAATCTATTGTCTTCGCCATAAAATCCAATGCCTTGTAGTTGACAAAGAATCTGGAAGATGTAAAGCAGTTATAGATCACTTTGGTCAAAGAATAAATGCTAACTATTTTATTGTGGAAGATAGCTACCTTTCTAAGGAAACGTGCTCAACTGTGCAATATAAACAAATCTCAAGGGCTGTGCTTATTACAGATCAGTCTATACTAAAGGCAGATTCTGATCAGCAGATTTCCATTTTGATCGTGCCTCCGGTGGAACCAGGTGCTTGTTCTGTTCGGGTCACAGAATTATGTTCATCAACCATGACATGCATGAAAGGCACCTATCTAGTGCATCTGTCCTGTGAATCTTCAAAAACAGCAAGAGAAGACTTAGAGTCAGTGGTGAAGAAATTATTCACCCCTCTTGCTGAGACAGAAGTAGATAAGGAGGAACTTAGAAAGCCAAGACTCTTGTGGGCTCTTTATTTTAATATGAGAGATTCCTCAGGAGTCAGCAGAAGCTCATATTGTGGATTACCTTGCAATGTTTATGTCTGCTCTGGGCCTGACTCTGGCCTGGGAAGTGAGCACGCTGTCAAGCTAGCAGAAACAGTGTTCCGGGAGATCTTTCCAAGTGAAGAATTCTGCCCTCCTCCTCCAAATCCAGAAGACATTATCTTTGATGGTGATGATAAGCAACCAGATGCACCTGGAACCAGTACTGTAACAATGGCCAAGGTAGAATCTCCCGAGGAAAGCAAAAACATAGAAAGCCCCCTTCAAAACTAGAAAACAGCGAACTGGAAATGCACTTCATCTTGGCGTCAGAATATTCTCACTTGAAAGACAATTTTCCATATGACTAATTAGGACTGGTTATATGATGAGTGCTATGCAGATGTTGTCTTTAAGTCTTTTTGAGACATTGGCTATTGAAAGTCTTTGTTAATCAGTAACTGATTTATTTGGTTATTGGACTTTGTGTTTCAGAATCAGCTCCATGATCCAGAAACTTAAAAAACAGGGTTAGCTTTATCTTAATACTGGATATCTACTTAAGAGTTCCATCTTAGCAATGTTGCTTAAAGGAAGGTAAAACTGTTACCAGCTACTGATCTTCAAATTTTATCATTGTCTACAGAGTAATTAATAATATAAGAAATGCTTAGTTACTGTTGCAGCTGTTACACTTGCTACCACCTCTTCATAGAAAAATACAAATGATACATTATGTGAGTCTTTTGTATGTAATATAAATAGTGTAGGCTTGGTAGTGAGAACAGCAACTAATAAAAGTGCCAGTAGGATAAAAATACACTTGTCTGTAATTGTTAAAGATTAGTTTTGCATGGTCTTTATTCTTTGTGAAGGCCTCCTGTTTATATTTTGCTGTTTAATTTGCCTACTTAGCCCTTGTATCCAAGAGAAACAATGATACCACCATAACCTTCTGCTTTACAAAAAGAAACTGAGATTAGTTGATAGTTGAAGAGTGCATGTGGAGGAGATGTATTCTAAAGAAAATCTAGTGGAGAAGATTGTTGAAAAAAACTGTAGAACTGAATGAATGAAAAGAACTTCCAACAAGTAAGTCCAGCTAAAAGAAAAAAAATAGATCACCCTAGGAAAAAATATTTCAGGTGGTTGTTCTAAAATTCCTAAAGAGAAATAGAATGGAGCATTTTTAACTTGGGGTTACAGATGGTTTTTAAACCCTTTGTAAGTAGATTTTCTCAGCCAAGTTTCTTCAGAATGGAATGTACCATCTGTTGGCTATACCACTTTAAATAGCAACTCTAACTTACAGAATGAATCAAAGTAGGATTTATTGTGCCCCTAAGGTTGTGTCTCAACAGACAAATAGGTAACAACATTCATTCATAATTACTTACACCTCTTGACAGTTATCTATAGAGAATAGAAATATTTTTTCCCTCTACAACCACGAGGAATCATAAACCTGCTTGTACTCCAGTGTTGACAAGTTGCAGGACTGTCAGAAGAGGTGAACTTCTTTCTCATTCAGTCCCATTTCCATATATCGGGAAGAAAATAATGATCCTGTAGGAAGAGGTCCTTTCATAGTTTTTGCTCTGAAATGAAGCATTTACTGTGCACTAGGTACTTAATCTTGTGTTTTCCATAACGTTCTCAACAGCATTGTGAGGCAGATACAGCATGCTTTCAAACTAATTTGGTCTGGAAAAGCCAACATTGCAACCTAATGTAGTCTTTCATGATCCCTAATTCTGTCTTTTCACTAATGTTCACTGGTAGAAAAGTAGTTACTGTAAGAGAAGTAAAAGTGCCTGGGAAAATCAGAATCTCGTTGTTGGGGAAAAAGAGTACACAGATGCGGATTCTACAGCATATTACAGAATCAAAGAAAAAAACATATATTTAGAGGTGTGAATCTTAAGCAGAATTTGGCTGAGTTTTAACAAAATAATGCTCTTTGGTATTATGTCACAACTGGAGATTGTTACCAAAAATGTAAATATGCAAAGATAACGTTCTTTTCTTGCTGTGCTGTATATGAGGAAAATGAGACAAGACTGATTCAAGTAATAGCTTATTGAAAGTAGAAAGTCATGGTTTGGTATTAATATTGATGTTTTAAATGTAGTAAAGTGGTATTGTTTGGTCAATCTTAAACTTACCAAAACATCTAAAATGTCTGATAACCTACAAAATTAGTAATTAAATTTTTGAAAGTCTCAGGGTAAAAATAGAGGCAAAAGAAATTCAGGCCTACTGAGAAGTTTCTTAGAAACACAGATTACTCATAAGAAATTGAGAAAGGGAACAGTGAGAAGTTGTAAAAGATGGTGTAATGGAAATATTAAGTGTTAGGTTAGGCCAAAATAAAGATTGTTTTAAAAACGAAGAAAATGAATATATTATTTCCTTAAACCAGTGCAAGATAACAAGTTGGAAATGAGACAAGTTGTAACCAGTAAACATTTAAGAATTTATGGGATATTATAATACAGAGCAGTTTTCTGACAAGTTGGAATTTAACTCCAATGGGCTTATTGGTTAGCTTTTTGAAATGTTTAAGAATAAATATCTAGATATCATGAAAGATGATATGCTAATTATATTTGGGGGCAAATATAACTTCAGTACAAAAACCCAAACATAAAATAGTTTTTATTCTCAACAAAATACAAAGTGAAATTTTGGCAAACAATACAGCAACAAATAAGTTACTTCCTATGGCTCAGAATTTTAAGTGTTCAGTTGAATAATCATTACATCAACATCAATAGAACAAAATGGTAAAAATTCAAAGTATTAACTACATTAACTTTTTAAAAATTTACCATTCCTCTTGTTTAATTGGTGCGAATGATTTCATAGGCTTCCCATAATGTGACAGGTAATTATTTAAAATTAAGAACTGAGAGTCATATTGGGAAATATTTATGGTAGAAGAAACATTGGAGTAAAAAAATTTTACAAAATGAGACAAGGAAAGAAAGCAGCATAAATATTTCTTATTTACATGGCTAGCCAAACATATGTAACTATATTAACAGTAAAAGACTTAAATCAGGAATTTGCAGGATATATAAGATAAAAGTCCTGTTTCTAGAGCCCAGTGGTAAGTGCAGTTTAAAAAATATTTGAGTATTCATAAGCCATTAAAGGAAAGTTACACGACTATATTGGGATAATTTAAGAAAGATACTTAAATAGAAGCAGGCTGAAAGAGCTAAACTCAAAATATGAGAATACTCCCATGAGAGACATCCTAGTACAATGGAAAAATAGTAAATGGAGAGTCCTTGCATCACTTCTTAGCTGTTTCTTAATCTTGGGAAGATTACCTTAGTTCACATTTCTCCATCTGTAACATAGAAATTATATTTAACAGAATTATTGTGGGGATTAGTTAATATGTACAAAACTACATCCAGGTGAATGCTAATACGTGACATAGTTTTATTATAATATTTAACATTCCAACAGAATGTTTTATACAGTTTTATACAATGTTGGAGATGTAAGTTTTTTTTTAAATTTAGGGTTTTTTTCCCGGTACCGGGGATTAAACTCACAACCTTATGTTTGCTGGGCAGGTGCTGTGCCACTGAGCTAAATCCCCAGCCCCCTAAATTTAGGTTTAAAGATGGGAGTTTTACCTTTTAAATCTTTATTCTCTGAAGCAATCTTTATGTTCTGTGGTGCTGAATAGAATGTTTAAGATTGTAAAGCATTTGGAAAGAAGTGTTTAATAAAAGTTAATAGAAGGACCAGCTGGATCAACCTGAAGATACTAGGTTCACTTTTCATATGATAATGCATTTTATTTCAGATGAGTGAAAATGTTACGTATAAAAGAAAAATAAAAAGAATATTTTCATCCCAATAATAGTGCAGAGATTTCATGGCAATGAAAAGCATTGACAAGGTAGATCAGTTTAAAAGAATAAAAAATGTATACTAAAGGAAAAGTAAATGAGCTATTTGGATTCACAAGTGTTTAATTTTTTTAAAGTGGATGGAAATCTTTAAGGCTTTGTACTCCTTAGTGGACAGATTTATAAAGAATATAAATGACATGATGCAAGCAGAAGTTCATAGGATGATATTCAGGTGAAAATACTAAAAATAAAAATAGAAACAACTTTGACCTAGTTTATGCTATTAAGCAAAAATTTTTAAGTGTGCATGTATCTTCATACCAAAAGTATTATATATTAGTAGTCATTAAAACAAAACAAAAAAACTAGGAGACTAACAAGCTCTATGCCTGATCTTTTGACTTACTAAGTTGCTTTGAGTAGCATATACCCAGTAAAATATTTAAAGAAGCTACTTGCACAAGTTTTTTTAAATGCCCATCGTTTGAGACATGGATAATTCTTAGTGTGATGCTGTTGCTATCGTAAACTGTTATATAGCCTTTAAATGTTGTTATATGTAGAATTATATGCAAAACTATTTAGAATCAAAATGTTAATTAGAATATAAATTATGTTTACTGGTTATAATTGTAAAAATTTAGGTTTTAACATTAAAATATCAGAAGATGTAATTAATTACAGTTTAACATTAAGGGGTTCTTTTTTTCTGTAAAATACTGATGTGTGTAATAAAAAAATAAAAGATTAATTGGCAAAATGGTTTACTGGATTGGTGAGATACTTACTGATTTCTTGGAAACATCTCAAATTTCCCCTTTAAAAAATACATTTCTAAATGCTAAAGACAAAAAGATAAATCTCTTAAAATGTGACAGAATTTTCCAAGTCTTCATAGGAAGGAACTGTTGGTTAGGATAGACGTTGTATCTTTTATAGCTTTTCTCAGTTGCCCAGCGTTAAGGAATAATAATAGATATGGTACCATTGTACTGGAGGACACCAGCATGAATACAAACTAATTAAATTATGTCTGCAAATCTCAAATACATCTTTTGGGAGCCATGGAGCCCATGGAAATGAAGGCTGGATTCATAGGGGAGGCCAAGGCTGGGCCTGAATAGGGTTTCTAGGGAGACCTTTTGTCAAGACAGATCTTGGAATGGGCAGTGCAGACAGACCCTGTGTTCCAGTCAGCCTTGGAGATCTAAATCAAGGTGATGTATTCAACAAGTAGCAGTTGAACTCTCAAGTGTTAATTATGAATTGGCATTCTAGGGCATAGAGCTATAAAAATAGAATAGGATAAACTGTGTCTTAGAAACATTTTCTTAGAATGTCTAATGAGTATTTAAGACATTTTTCTCTCACACTTTGAATTTAGTGACCACTACTCGTCTCCCTTTAATGCGCAAAAAAAAAAAAGCAAAAGAAATCTCTGACTTTTGATGCTTTTCATTTCTTTGAGTGTCAAAATATTTTATACACGGCTGGGCATAATGATGCACGCCTGTAATCCCAACATTTGGGAGGCTGAAGCAGGAGGGTCACTGAGTTCTAGGCCTGCCTGGGCTACATAGTTCAAGGGCAGCCTGATCTACATAGTGAAACCCTGTCTCAAAAAAAAAAAATTGTACACAGTTGGAAACAGTCTGCTTAAAGGTTAAAAGCTGGGTCAGTTAACATCTAAGTCTTTATCATAGAACATTTAGTTAATCAAATTTTTGGCTACCAGAAGCTTTCTCTTCTACCTGGGGAAGGAGCAAAGAGGTAGAAGAGGTTGGGTCCAGAAGCTCAAGATGTAAAGGATTTAGGGAAGTAGAAGTGTAAAGAAATCTGAGAGAAGCAGAAAGTCTCCATACCAAGAAATTCTTGGATGAAAATTAGCTTTATTTGCCTTCAATTTGGTGGATCAGATGGAAGCCGTGTTCCTCTTGACTTCTAGGTAACTGCTTACTGGGAATTTTTAATTGTTTTTATCTTCACCATAAAGAAGATTACTATATTTCCAGTATAATTCCCTTCAATTTAACCAACAACCAAATGTGTTCACATTTTAACAGCAGGGGGCACAGTACCTCCTGATTTCTGTAAGGCATGAACAATACAGTGTGAGTGATTCAACTGAAAGAATTTTCTAACGTGAATAAAGTGACAAACTTGGCTACAGCATGGGTAAGAATGCTTTCCTTCTGACAGCCGTGTTATGTGGCTTTCAGGACAACTACATGAGGTAAGAAAGTGCTGGTGCTCACTTTATAGATGGGACCTGGAAGAATTATAGTAACTTGGCCTGGACTCACTTGCAGTGGATTAACTGGGGTTGGAAGAGGAAGTGGGAGTTAAATCACACCTGAAATTTGATACAAGTCATCTTGATATTGTCAAGAGCTTCACTTGCATAGATTACTTACTGCTGTTGTCCTATGATTTGGCATTTCTTGTTGCTAAATATATCTCTAATTCTTAATATACTCTGAACAGCTACTGAATAGGAAAAAGGAGTGACTGGATTTAGAAGTGCAGAATTGACAGCAGGGAAATGAATACATGTTTGTAGATCATTCACAAGGAGATAAGCATAATTTTCTGGTTTTAAGAAAGTGATCCTGGGGACATCCATGTATACAGTAGATTTTAGACCAGTTCTTTTTATTACATGTCAGGTAAAGCTTTTTAAGTACTCTCATTTCTGTTTGAGATTTGTTCATCCCTTATCTAAAAACAACAAACACATTAACCTAGTAGAAAGTGTTACTTTTGTAGCTTTGTAAGTGAATCTCCTTATGTTTGTAAGTTAAAAGGTTTTGTAGCACTTCTAAAGAAGGCGTTTTGCAAAACATCCAGCTAAAAAAGATTTTATTTTTAGGCAATTAAGATTATTGTAAATTTCTAGTTTTAGGGTAAGCATATATGAATCAGTAAGACTATTTGAAAATAGTGTATGTAACCAGTAGGCTGTTCCATACAATAATGTTACTCATTTTCTTTCATTAAGGCAGTGGTTCTCAAACCAGGATATTTACCCTTCAGGATACGTCTGGAGCCATTCTTCGTTGTCTAAATTAGGAGGGGGCATTAATAGCACCTAGCGAGTTGTGAGGTAGCTGTTCACCATCCTACAATACACAGGGCAGCCCCCTCACAAAGAATTATCTAACTCCAAAGTCAGAAAAAAAATCTGTTAAACATTTTTAGTATTCTTAAGGAAGATATCTTCTTTCATGCTCCCCACTTGTGCCTCTTAAGCTTTCTGACTTACCTTGTTCACAGCATCACTGTTTTGTTTGTTTGTTTGTTTGTTTTTTTCCCTCGGTACCGGGGGTTGAACTCAGACCTTGCGCTTGCCAAGCAAGTGCTTATACCCCTGAGCTATATCCCCAGCCCCACAGCATCACTGTTGATAGGAACACCTGTGTATCCTCCATCTCCTGTCACCAGCTAACCGTGGCATCCTTCTGGAGGTTTACGATAACATAAGCCCCAGAGCAGCATTCAGACTGTATCTGATCCTTCTGCAGTTGTCAGATGTAGACTAGAGCTAACTCCAAAGAAATTAGAAAAAAAAAAAAAAGAAATGAGGTTATCCTTATATATATATCAAGCAGCTATCTCAAGAATATTAAAATATGGGGGCTGGGGATTTAGCTCAGCGGCAAAAGCACCTGCCTGGCAAGCGCAAGGTCGTGAGTTTGGTTCCCGGTACCGGAGAAAAACCAAAAAAAAAAATTTAAAAAAAAAAACAACTTAATTTTGTGTGAATTTCACTGTCAGGAATTATGTCTTAAAAATCTAGAACCCAACCCCTTCTTCTGCCTCCACTG